AGTTGTACTCTTCTCTCGCAGCAGTTTAGTTTACATCTGTCGATGAGACATCCCAATGCCTCTATTCCAGTAAAGCTCCGTTACAGAGTCCATTTGCAACAAGCAACTGAGGAGCATAACAACTGCACTTTTGTAAAACTTAGCTCACGTGGCGGCACTCCTGCGGGGGTCGAAGAATCCAGATACTATTGTTGGAAAGTATATCACACAAATCTTCAGGATGAAGGGCCTCGTCCACACTCTATAGGAGCGTTCGTCTACTGGGGTTTCAGCATGGAGGTGATCCACAGTTGCGTCATTGGTGCTCTGCACGTGTACGTTTTTTCGGTGCTAGAATGGCTTACGCGCAGAATTCAGATACTTTGTTAGACTCTGCTCTCCTCCGAGGACTTCCGTGACCGTGTCAGAATAATACATCATTACTATAGTCAGGTGAATATATAGAAAAGGTTTATATGTTACAAGTATCCTATCAAGGATAGCTGCAATAAAATCACCTATTTAGTTGGTGGGATTCTGAAACAGAAATAAGCATTTCCAATAGCATAACCTCATATACACTCCTGTCCTTGATTCAAAGAATGCCTTTACCCATTCCGTTTTCTACTAGCTCCAAACTATTGATGATCCTCAGGAGCAAGTGAAGAAGGTGGTTCGTGGGGTGAAGAGGCAAAACGAGATATCTTTAGTTTGTATGCTTATTTTGTCCTTTTGGTGTGTTTGCTTATTGTCGTTTTTAAGCTCCACTGACTTCGGCTTGTTACACTTTACTTATTGGGGCTTCTTTTATTGAGCTTCACAGCTCTTTCTCCACACACTGAAAGGAGGGGACGCCCCGAGCCTGTAACTCAGGAATAACAGCCAATTCAGTCAGGCAAAATCTTCATCAAATCAAAAGGCGTCCTTCACTCCGTTTGTTCGTTTGGATTTTGCTTTACCTTGTTTTACGTAACATTTCACAGTGTTACCTCGTCAGGGAAGCGTGTTCCCTCACGAAACACCACAGGCCTCGTTGCACCTCTCATTCTTAAACTCTGTCCACGTTAAACAAACTTTACACTGAGTTCTGATCAATTGCCTATTGTCTCACTGCGACGGCAATTAGTAGTCCGACTTCTGTCAATCAAAGTCCGTCGACGATAATTTGCTATATACTGTAAAGCAAAGCCCTCCCCCTTGACAACTATATTTACTGACTGACTTCTAGCTGAACGATACAGCTTGCGCTTCAAAATTTTCTACTCATCTTTGAAAATCATTTGAATCATAGTGCTAAGTGAGCGTGTTTCAGAACGCAGTATGTTAATTTGTTGCTCAGACTGAAAGTAAACAATAAGAAGAATCAGGGGTAGAAATAAAGGAAGTAACTTTCGCAAAACGTACGCTGCTTTGTGTGGCAAGAATTCAAAGTAGTATTGTGAGCATATAGTAGTATATTCGACTGAACTTAAATTTTAGAAAGTTGGCTTCTGTGAGCTCTGGTTTTATTTCTACGGAAGTTTTGACGCTCAAGTAGAACATGTAGATCGAGAACCATTATCTTGAAGTCATCAGCAGTATCTAGGTCGACAAATGTCGGTCCCGCATGATCAAATGTTAACAGCCATTTGTCAGTCATTCCAAGTGATGGTGATCTTTGAGATTTGAGAATCCTCTCGATCCTAGTTTAATTCGCACGGTAAGCAAGCTTCACTAATATCTTACATTTCAACTGTTTCATCTATAGCTTACAAGCAACTCGGATTGACTCTAACAACCATGTCAGCCATAAAGAATTAGAGAGCGACATGTGTTCGAAACGAAATTCTCGCGGGTAATGGAGAGTGACCGAAATGTCAGCAGAATCACTATGTCAGTCATACATCTAAAAGACAGATTTTAAGTTCGGAATGATATATAGCTATATTAATGCAGCAGGATAGGTCATGAGAGTTTGTTGCAAATCTTTACAAAATTTTGTCAGCACCATGCACGGTAGCATAATCTTTGAGCTTAATCTGTTCACGCCACTGTAAAACACAAGTTTGTGTACCAAGTGTAAACTCGTCCCTTATGAACAAGCCAATTATTCGCTAAATACTTATGCAGGCAAGCAATGTCCCACGAAGATTTGTTTTCACCAATAGGCGACCGGCATCGTGGATGTGATGATCGTGTTGTAATGCCGTCAAAGTAGCCGCCCACCGCGTTAACAGCTTATGCTAATTAAGCAGTAGGAACGAAATATCTACCGGAAAACAGCTTAGATTGAATATGGTAATGAAGTCATCGTTCATAGGGTTCTCGGCAATAGCTCCTCTCTATCTGATTTGATGCCTAAGCTGATTTGCTGCAGGTTTGGTATCACCAATAATTTGTTTTGATTACGTTACCAAGTTGGTTGCCTATGCTTGGAATACCTAAGCAAACAAAAGTTAGATCGGTCATCAAAAAGGTCATTTGAACTGGAATTCCATTATCATGTCTCGACAGAGTGATAAAAATTCGTTCAGAACTTTTGCTTGTTGCTTCTGCAATGGGATCGGTGCCAAATAAATCATAGCATCACAACGTGTTAGCTCCTCGATACCCCAAAACTTTGGGAGTTATGCGATACCTATCTCTCCTGAAGCATGGTCAATGATTGATCCATCTTAGGTCCATCGCCATGCTTGAATGGGAACCAACGAGGTGATCAGGGTGCCGATAAAGTGATCAGTTCTCTTACTTTGTCTAGCCCTCTTTAATACACGATCCCTTAAAGTGCATGGAATCAATGAGCAAAGTGGCTCCTACCAGAGCAACCAAAATTTTGTCTGAAGTCAATTAAAATCAAGACAGCAGTGTTCGTTCCTGTTTGAGTAAGGATTTGATGCACAGATTACCTCTACTGCCATTTCAGCTTAACTGCTCTCTTCGTTTTCTTGACTATTCTAAAATTTTCACATCACTCCACCAAAGTTGGTGGACGTGTTATTGAAATACATCTGCTGGCTTCTATCTAACAAAGATACTTCCTTCGTTTGAACGAAATTAAAAAAAAACAAAACGACTAACTTCAGAAACGATAGATTAATTCTCCTCGTTTGTTTGTGTAATGAATGGGTTTCATAAATGTGAACCAACCTCAATCAAACAAACATTTCATCACCAGCATAATTACCTCAACCATTATATAATTGATGCGCAGAAATACTTGACAATCAACAGTGATTGATTGTGACACGAATATTCTTACCTGCGCCTGTTAAATGCTACCCTAGAAACCCTAGAATCACCGAGTGATACAGCGACAGCCACTCATTTGTACATTCTAAGCACCTTCACTTGTTTCGATCATAACTGCCTTTCAACGGTACTTGGGCCGATAGAACGTATCCATCGCTCTCAGTTCCACAATGGAGTGGTGAACTTTGTTGTGTCCCGTCGCTTTTGCTCGATTTCGCCTCCAAATTTCGGTTGATCCACGTCTGTGGTCAATGGGTTAAAGCGGCGGGCATTATTTTACTGCCATATTACGGTATGAGTGCAAAATGAACGAAATGTAATTATGACTGGCTCGATTGAGCAACGACTGTGGTGAAGGTGTGGGCGGTGCCACACTTCGCTATCACTCTCCGCTACCACCAACAATGAACCCTCATCTAGCATCAGGCATTGGTTGGTCCCTGTCTCGTCATATACTAACCCTAACTTTTTGAAAAGGTCAATTTGACGGCAGAGGGCTGTGCTCTCAAGAGAGACGCCCATCCAAAGTAATTTGAGCACTCATTACTGCTGATGTATTGCTCACCAGTCAATGAGCCTGGCGCACGTTTAATTATCAGCAATTGCTCTGAAAATATTACCACTCTTGACCGTATGCTGTGTCGCATCAAAAGATATTTAGCCTACGCTATTCGACAATTGTTCTTTGTGTACAAATGTGTGTTGCTCTAAAACTCGAGAGCGACGGACCGTTTTAGCTTTTGATAAATGGAAGTTTGTTCGACGTGATCACTATGTCAGGAATATTTTCCCCTTGAACTGTTTCATTGTGCGTTATTGTGCCAGAGTAGGCATGATAATGACTTTCTCTTTGCTTCTTAGTTTAGCCAAATATTCAAGCATGTCCTGATTCTCGAACAGTTTATAAACACTGTGCCATGTAGGATCACCTCAACTCCGCTCACGTACAATTTTACTGGAGTGGGATACATATATAAGACAAAGTAACTACTAAGGATACCCTGGATCACCTCTTCCCAGTTTGTTTTCAAACAAAAAGTTCAAGCAGGCGGGTCATTCCTTGTAGTTTTGTGAGTTACCGAAAGTTAGACATCCGATACCCTGATGTTTGCCAAGCATCGGCTTCCCTTAAGAATCTTCATCATCCCTTCGGGAACGTCGTCGTTGCCTGATAAACCGAGTGTGATGCCGATTCCTTTTGCGATGCTTACTAGCTTTCATGCTGATAGGCAGCTGGTGCATCACCGTAACCATTGTTTGCCAAGCAATTTAGGCGTTGATTTTCTCAGATTGCATGATTACCCAATGCGCGTCTCTCTGTTGTCTCCTCCTCCTGTCTGCTCCCTCTCGCCTGACTGGCCACATCTATTAATTAACCAATTAAAGTAGTGCTTTCATATGAATACGGTATAGCGGCGATCCGCCCAAGCATTACTGAATCGTCTTTCTCAATTCACTGTCGTTTGGTTTGTTGTTGTAGCAATTTTCATTTATAAGTTCCTGAATCCGTCTATTTAATGCTGACACAATCCTAATCTTATCCTGTATTCAAGTTTTTCACATCGGTTCACCCTTTTCAGAATGGTTCCGCTAGAAGGCGAAAAGGATCTTTCGCCATTCAGCGTTGAAAGCATTCTCAGACGGAAAGACGAAATTCTCAAGCCACAAGCTATGCCATCGACTTCCTCCTTCAGCGAGTCTTTTGTCCCCATCACACAGAATCACATGAAAATTCCGGGTCCCTACGAAGCTGCGATGCTCTTCTTTAAGCGGTCCAGGTGCTGATTGAATTTCTGCATTTATCTCTCCAATTTGAATCGGATTACTTACCTAAATTTTCAAGACTCTCCCTTCCTCTTTCCGAAATCACACCTGAATCTGCAAGTTCATCGCGGCGCTCAATCGCTCCAGTGCAGTGGATAAACGCTTGGGGTGCTCCAAGCGATTCAGACGGTGAGTTTTGCAGTGACGCTCCTTCAATCGCACTATTTATGTTAAATAAATATGTTTTCAGCCAATGATGATGCTAAAATTCAAATGGGCATAAACAAGTGTATGCTGCGAAAGCATAAGAACAATCGCAAACCTCGTACACCATTCAGCACTCAGCAACTTCTTTCACTGGAAAGGAAGTTTCAACAGAAGCAGTATCTGAGTATAGCGGAGCGAGCCGAGTTCAGTGCCAGCCANTATCAATATGACAGACCGTACTCTCGTGACGTGACAGCGACCTCCTTTGAAAACAGTAGTAGAGAAGTGGTAAGACAATATCTGGCATCTCAGCCTTTTAGTTTAACTTTCGTAATTTACGCATTTGAACTTTTTTCATCACCAAAATGTGAGGAAGAAGTCTACTACACACCCCTTTGAACGAGATTTCAGTTGTTGCGATTGCGCAAAAAGCTACTACGACTACATCTAGCCAAAACTGTCCAGAACTGCCATCGTCGCTATGCATCATGACAAGTTTTTTGAACATCCTACATTGGTACCGTTGTGAACTCTTTAATGCTGTTTCACCTACCTCGTCCGCGCATACACCCAAGACGATCTTTAAAATTCATAACGGGCCTAGGCCGTTTTCAGACCTGACATGATATTCAAGTAGCAACGATTGCTTTTGATAGTTTTCTGTGGTGTGATCCCTCAAAACATTAGCCCTGCACTTCTTCCTACTAGTTGGTAGGACGAATTCGATAAATTATATGAACAAAAATTCTATTGATAAATTCCTCTCCTATTATAGACCATTGTCGTAAAATGGAAGCGAATGAAACTGAGCGTAAAATGAAATTCCACCCTTGTACACACCGCTACAACTATCATCGAAGTTCAATAGTTTGTAATACGTTACTTGCTTCCACTGTTCAGAACAACCGAATGCTTTTTTATCATTAAGAATGCACGTCGAGTGATATGTTATTAAAATTTGTATTCGATGCTTAATTTCTTGTCACAATGAAGACTCGATTTCTATTCCTCCAACATAATTGCCCGTCCTTCTCCTCCCACNNNTGAATAGTAGTACATAGAGGGCTAGAATTAAATAAAAGTTTAAGGAATAATTGNTCCCCCCCCCCCCCCCCCACTGTGCTCGCCGTGTGTTTTCCCGCAAATGCCGATCAAGGTGAAATTCCTTTTGTGGTTCAAAGCTCGAGAGAGTGAAGAAGCGCCCTAGTGCTGCGGCTAAATAGAAGCCGGTAAAAGGGGACAGCGCAGGAGGTTTGGTAGGTGGGACGAGAAACAGAAAGGAGTTTCGGAAAAAAAAGAATGTTTGATTCAGCTGGTTTTTTTTTGAAACAATCTTCTGCTGTTGTCTGTGGTAATTTGTAACACGATTTTTGCCTCGAGGAAATTGAACACAGATATCAACAATTTTATGGAGAATGTTTTGATCGGGACACATCACGATATTTCAGAATCGCCGGGCGAAATCAAAGCGTTTACAAGAGGCTGAAGTAGAGAAGGTGAAATTTGCTCATGCTAACGCACTTGCATCAGCGGCCATGGTGAACGACTCATCCAGAACGTTTGTCGCCTTAAGATATCCGACACAATGGTGAGACAAGTCGTGCAACATCTTCAATGTGATCTTCCTTAATCGCAGTCATACGCTGTGCATTGTTGTCCATTCCCTTTTCGTTGTGATTCTCGGTTACGTTTTTCTCTTTGATGTACGCTTGTGTTCTATGAAAATATAATTCCACACAAAGGTGCTAGGATGAGCAGGTGTATGGGGAAGACGGACACTTAGATCAGTCAGGGGCAGCCACCTCACTGAGTATCAACTTTTATTACTGGCTCACTGCAGTTACCCTTATCTTGCAGTAAAAAAAATGGAAAGTATTGCTGGTCACTTGGTTATCAATACGTAGAGTGAATAGTAGTACATAGAGGGCTAGAATTAAATAAAAGAGTAAGGAATAATTGATCTAATTAGAGCTAATCGGAGTTACTGAAAAGGTTTCTTTTTACCTTAGCTATAGTCATATCCAACAGGGCATCCCATTGAAGGAGTCGATCCACTGCCACTGGCCGATCTAAGCGCACCACATCCAAACTGTGTACTTCAACAGTAAGCCAGTTTTGCATTCTGGTGCTCGACCCAGAATGCTGAAAGCTGGTTTAAGGGTGCTGCCCCAATGATGTGTGACTGTGACGGGTAACGGAACTTTTCCCCGATTGCGGCATTCTCCCTCGCGGCATGCGGCAATTACCGTACTCACCCCGCCTCCCCCGCCAATCAATAGGACGCGATAATGTTCGATGATTGCCTTTCTTTTTTCATTAGATTTGATCTTGTTTCTGTTCCTTTTTCGTTATTATTTTTATTGGACTTGATTAACTAGAATGACTCGTCCTATGTAAGCGACGATCAAGACCGCATTGGAATTGAAGAGAGCGATCAGCCAATTCAAATAACTAAAAGACTCCCCACCTCACAGATTGCGCGCTCCAATCTTCCACCGCAATCCTGCGATACGCGGCGGGTGCGGCGTGCACGACGCCGCTTTCGGGGAGAAGATTCCGGACCTCTCTTCTCGAAACTCGTTGATTGCAGACCGTTACTGAAATTCTCATCGGTGCGCTGTTGTATTATATTTTTGCCTGAACAACCACTTAATTTTTATGCACTGTTTTGTTTGGCAGTTTACACGCATCTCATCAGTGAACTATTGGTTTAGCTGGCAACACAAAACATTAATCTCATCACAGGCATCAATCTCAATCTCATCCTTACGATGAATAACAACGTACCTATCAATGTCAATTGTTCCGTGTGCGTGTTGTCACTGACTCAGGAAAATTTTCTCAGATACCGGTCATCTTTACAAACATTCATATTGCAAAAATGTGGTGATTACAATGGGCACTTAAGTATTCATGGACCACCAGTTCACTCTCGTGATTTTCCTTGAGGAGGCCGATTGATGTAATATCATCACCGTACCGCAGCCTCAAGCAATGTTGGTTTCCGAGCTAACAGCTTCGCCCGTGAAACCCAGTGAGTGTTATCAGAATGCTTCGCATAGCACCTGAATTCCAATGAAGACTAAAAGGCGGTTTTGGTGTTGTTCACGATATAGCTTCAATGTAACCTTTCATACATCTAAATGGAAAAGGAAGTGGATATGACGAAGCAGGCTTCCGTGAGAAAATCGTTGAACATCAACGTTCACTTTGATCTGTCAACTTTTATCGTGAGTCAGATCAGAGGGGTTGATTGATATCGAACTTCAGCTCCATTTCTAAACAGATCATTTGGATGTAGACTGTCATCAGGCTCGATTGATAATGTGGAACTCGATTGATGAGTGCTCTGTGATTTCGATCCTGCAGTAACGACTATCGCCTGAAGCTTGCAAACTAGGCTGCTTATTTTCATTCAAACTAAAAAAAACTCGAATTGACCACGTTTAGATTCATAGGGACCCAGCTTGTAATATTCCGTAGATACTGTATCTTCATAAGGGACAAGAAAGCTTTCTGATCCACTGACCAGAGAACCCTCCCAATACACCGGCACAGTGGCAGAAAATTCAACGCTTTCGACAATGGATTGAAATCCTGAACAATGGCGCTGACTATCATGGAGAAATTACCACAGTCCTATCGCCTTCACTCCAGAAGGATACCTCTACCTTACCGAAACAACCGAGCTCAACGGAGTTGTAAGGGTTTCGGAGATTTCCCATACTATCATTAATTATTTGGCAAGAAATTCGCCGACTACTGGTTGAGGGGATGGGTTAGCTTGCAAAGCATGGATTTATTATCACGTGTCATTAACTCCCCGATAAGTAATTTTCACGGTTACAGAGAAATGCTTGAAATGAAATGGGAAGAGCAATCTAATCCATTCAACCAAGTTCAACGGAAAAATCGAAAATGAAAACTCGTTTTTTTTTTGGAAAATATCGATACAAAGCCGTGCAAGCATGATCTACAACTACGATTGTAAGCCAGAGTGACTTTCTCAGTCAAGTCTCCTACGTCCTTTCACATGTTTTAAGATGTATACTAACGTCCAGGTGGGGAGCTTCCCCTTACCATTGCGTAGGTCACAACTCTTATGAAGCGCATGGTCGGATCTCAGAACTCAACTGTTTTTATTCTTGAAATGTATATTTCGAATAAGTTTATGGACCACCAGGCAATGACTTGACCATCAAGTTCAATAGGGAATGATCAGACGTTGCCTCCATTTGAAAGGTGCTCAGAGTGAGTAACTTCTTCTTTGCAACCGTATTAAGCGACCCACGTGTGAGATGAGGGAATCTCCGCCCGTGGTGTCCTCATTGGCCGTCTTGTTTATGACGGTAGCCTGCCCAAGAGGCCCACCAATCAATATGAGACTTTTCTCAACTGTCATGCTGCTGCATGATTAAGCCATGCTACTCGCCCTCTTTTTGACTTTGATGGCACCTTACCCTCAACAAAGATACGATAGCCATACTAATTGTTTGGAAAAAGCGAGTTCGCGTTACCTTGTTTTTTATACACTTCTAGTTCTCAGTTTTCTATGAAAAATATTACATAATTCAACGCAGTCGGCAGAACCATACAAAGCGGTGAAATAAAAATTGGCTAATTTTGAGTCCCCAGTCCATCATTCTTCGTGAGGGCACGAAGTATGACGGGCCGGGGAACGGAGAATGCTATACTTATAACCAGAGAGCATTCGCTTTTTTGAAAGTATTCAATTACTTGTGAGGTAGCTCTCGTATTCTTAAACTAAACAGAAGTGCGTTGCTCTCATTACTCAAGTTGTAATTATCATTTCGATACTAATCTCAATCCGATTGGATGAATCGCCCACGGGCTTAGATCAACTGAGAGTATCTTTTAAAATGCAATGTTGCAAAGGTGAGTTTGCTATTGCTGTATTTTTGATATTTGGGAAGAAGTTGTGTCCTTCATCGAATATAGCCGAGCTAAACCTCTGTGAACAGTCACCACTGTGCAAGAAATGGTTACTAGAACTTCGGTCTCATATGAACTTCCGAAATTCCGACTCAAAACCATTATTTTCTGAAGAAGAAAACTTCTTTGAACATAGTTCAGTGAAATCCATTATCGCACGCTACTCAGCAATACGGAGATCACTTCACGGATTTCAAGAACTCACACCTTCAGCAGCGGTTTCCTACCCAGTTCACTCACTCGCCCGTCCCAATCAGTCATCTGGCTAAGGTGGCCGAGCTAGTGTGTTAGACATGCTTGCATGTGCAACATCAAACGAACATTCATTGAGAATGAAGGAGTGCAATTTTCTAACAATAGGAACTCTGTTGATGGTGCACATGAAAATTTCGAACTGAATATGTACAACTCCTATATTTTAATGATGCAGATGGCTGCAGAACGAGATGTTCAGTTTTAACCCGATTGAGTCGCACTTTCAAATTTTATTTCTTGAAATGATGGTCTTATTTCTGTTTGAGTCTGTATCATTCGGGTGTGGTGCAGTAGGAACGAAACTGTCGCGTCGCGGCGAAACAGGCGCCGCGACAAAGGAATGTAGCGGAATGCGGCAGCAAGTAAAAAAATTCAGAAACAAAAAACCAACATTAGAATCATGTCAAAAACGATAATGACACATTGATTGAGCTATATGAGGAACGCTGGAACCGTAACAAAGAGGCAAAGGGTTCGCGACTGCCGCGCGCGCGGCGAATCGATTACACAAAACCGTTCCTACTGCTCGTCTCTCGTACATTCCCATCTCATACAATATTCCTGAAGACCGATCCACCGTCCTTTCACGGAAGCATTGATAGAGGTAAAGTAAGCCGACATCAGTATCTCCTACAGTAACTACCGAAGCAGTTTCTTCGTAGCTGTGCAATATACTGTTTTTCATATTTATTTCATCATATTTATGTTTTTGACAGCATATCGAATGACGTACTAAACAATAAACAATAAACAATACTGTGGTGCACAATAGATTGCACTCTACAGGAAGCCTAAACACTTGAAAGCTAATTTTGAAAGCTAGAACTTTGGCTTTCTCTGTTGCTGATATATTTTATGGGAGACCAAAAAAGTAATATTAACGCAGTAATCAATAGATCACAGAGATGTTCAGATTTTTTACAAGCAGAATCGGTTTCTTCGCCGTTGAATGAATTGAACTGTTTTACTCCTCTGACTTTTCCACACATTTTCTAGAGTTCGCATACACTACATGCTTTTTTATGCAAGTGCAGGTGTACGAGACTCTTGCACAGAGAATGAATCGAAATCCACACCTTACTTCGTCCTGGCAGGTGTTATGATCAAATTAATCTAAAGGAGAAGATGCAAAGGAATCAGCGATTTCTGAGCGCAACAAGCGCCGTAATTCGGCATGCAACTTCACAAAAAGTGCTGCGCATTTGGCTACAAATTGGGGGGATTAGGTCTCGAAATAGACTGCAGCTTATATTTCGAACCATATCGCTCTCAGAAAATGAAGCAAGTACCTTAGCTGACTCAAAATTGTCGAGAAAGCCGCTGCTTTGGTGTGTTTCCAATGTACTCCCACTTCGATATGAAATTTAATATTCTCGCATTTATT